CTAGTAAGGATAAGTGCCCCGTCTGTTTTTTTGAACACTGTTCAAATTCAAGTAAGGTTTACATATTGACGTGGTTGACACATCTCTTTAGTCTTTCTTTTGCTTCCTTATGGTGGTTACAAACAAGTTGAGAGTGGTTTAGTTTAATCTAGTGATCAATGAAGGGCCAGGTTTCACAGTCACATAGGATCCAAATTGTGGCTTGACAACTAGGGCAGGTTTCTTCACCTCCCTTCTCATTGGCCTCCCCATATTTAAGATGGGATAAAAATCCTCCTTACCTTGAAGGGCTGTGGTGAGGCTTCATCTCTGTAATAAATGCATGTCAATTATTATATTTATATGTATATAAATTGTGTTGACTACCCAGCACATAGAGTCTGCACAGGATATGTTAGCTGTGCATTTTAACAGGAAGTATTGTGTTGTAGTTAGCAGTTTGGTCCTTGAGCCAGTCTGCTTAGGTTCAAATTCAGAGTCTTCTTTTTAGGTGGGTGACCTTGAGCAAGGGGTATAACCTCTCTGTGTTCAGTTTCCTTTTCTAATACTTACTTCAGAGAGGTGGATTAAATGTGATAACCCAAGTAAGGAGTATAGGAAAATACCTGCATGACGCGCTATTATTGTTGTTTTGAGGCTTGAGTGGGTTAATAAATAGGACCTCCCCACTTTTTCCCCTCCCCATACCCAAGCTGAGAGATCAACAAAGAGTTAACAAGATGGGTGGGGTGGGGATCTAAACATCATGCTTATTACTTGATTGGAAAATGTGGCTTTGGCCAAGAGGCTTGCTGAAATTGCACCCCCGAATTGAATTTATGCTGTGCATTTTGGCAGTTCTGGAGTTTACCAGGCCCACCCCCAGGACAGCAGGAGGAATCTGTGGTACCCAAGACTGCTGCTGACTTCCCAAAGGGAAAACGCTGTAGGCTTTGTGCAGGCCTGGGGCCTTTCCCTAAAGTGCCTAGGCAGGGAAGTCTATTCCCTTCCTGGGTCAGGGTAGGAAGACAGGAGAACTTCACTGCCACCCCCTCCCAAGTCACTTGGGGGACAGGTCAGTCTTTGGTTTCTGAACATGGGTGTGCACACTGTAAGGCACATGGTGAATTTTTGTTGAATAGATGTACAGTTTTCGGCAGTAATTGACTAGGAAATACCAAGTATATTCTGTATTGTTCTCTGCAATGGGAAGTTATTATGATTCCTTTGGGATTGAAAGTTAAGGATAGTTTGACCAATAGCTTTCTTTTTCTAATTTTTTATTGGAGTAAGATTGCATTATAACATTATATAAATTTCAGGTGTGCATCCTTATAACTCAGTGTCTGTGTACACTACATTAGTTCACCACGACAACCTCCAACTCAAACCTTCACCATAAGGTTGACCTTTCTTTTTTTTTTTTTTTTTAAAGATTTATTTTTATTTATACAAGAGCTGGGGTACAGGGGCCAGATGTGCGGGAGGGTGAGAGGATTCACCAGAGACAGAATGGGGAACAGAACAGGCAGACTGAGCTGAAATACACTGCCGAGGGGAGCAGCGGGCGAGACAGGAGAGGTCTGCTCACCATGTGTGTTGCTCTGAGGCTGGCGGGGATCGAACCGGCACTGCAGAGGCTGTGGACAGCTTCATAGCGCTGTGCTTAACTGCCTGCGCCTCCAGGGAGGCCCAGGTTGACCCTTCTTACCTGTTATAACCCCCCTACCTGCTATGATATTTTATAAGTTCTTGGAACTTCTATGAGCAAAGGGCACTAGTAATAAGTGTGTGCTACGTTAATAAAATATTTCATAAGAGAAAGCCAACCTTACTCCGCCCAGAAAAATTTCTTCATTCATGTTTTAGCTCCAGCCAAAAAATATAAACAGCAAAGCCAAAATGGAATTTTCCTTTAACTTTGAGTTCCTACTCACTATCCTGGTGCCAGTTTTAACCAAGCCAAAGTAGACCTTTGCCAGTCTCTGCAGCAGTTTCATAACAAGTTTGTCTAAAGGTGTTTGCACAGCATTTAAAGTTATAAATTCAACCACTTTTTATTTTTTGGAAGGGAAATGAAAGGAGAGGAGAGAGGCTGTTGCCGCTTCCTCCTCCTACTTAGAAATAATCTTTCTTGCCCATTTCATATGGGACCATAATTTAATTTATTTGTATTTTCAATCCTCACATTCATTTTGCCCTTGTTGATATATTCAGCAACATGTCCAATGTCGGGAATATAGATGTAAAAGGAGTGGACTGTCTAGAGAGGCAAAACAGTAAACAGGCAAAGCATTTTGCTTTGTGGGGGTGCAGAAGGCACTCTTGAGCCGGCTCTAGGGGTGGCAGGGGTGGGGGCAGGTAGATCAGTCTAGGAGAAGCATGTCATGTATAATATCATGTGTAATGGCAGTCAGATAGATATAAACCAAGATATAAACATGTTAACAGGTACAAATGCTGCTGAGAGAGAGAGAGAGAGAGAGAGAGAGAGAGAGAGAGAGCTTTCTTAGAATTGTCTGGCAACAGAATAGGTTTTCTATCTTTGAAAAAGTTCTAAAATGATAGTTCATGGAATTAAAAAAAAAAACCCAATAATTAGCAAGTTGGAGGGATTATCTTTGCTCATCCACACTTGTTATATGTAATAGGTCAACCTGTGCTGCAACTCAGCTCTTTGTGTGAAGTTGCTGACGTTTACGGGGCACCCAGCACCACCCATTAAGTGGCAATAATAACATTTACCTCAGTGAGTTATTGGGAGACTTAAGTGTGATGACGAGTCTGAAGGTAGCCCGGATAAAACCTTGCATTTGGTAGGTGCTCCAGAAATGGTAGTCACGGAGGGGAGGGAGAAATTAGACACCATCAACTACATCTATTCTTTCTTTGCCTTTGGGTTGGTTGCTTTTTGACAGGATATAGCCCCTCCATCATCTTATAGTGGGAGCTATAAGCAGGCATTGAGGGATGTTATTCTTTTTTCTGTTGCTTGTTACAAAAACAAGGGCGCAGGCTCCTGAACATAACTATAGGATGCTTTTAGTGGAGTCCTCCATTCTTCCTTCTCCAAGTCTGCCGGCCTGAACTGACTTGGAGGCCCCAGCCATGCCCTGTGGGGATATTGCAGTTCTCTGTCCTGGGATCTTTTCTGTCTCCTCTGCACTTCTTCCAGGTCCCTTTTCCCCATATTCCAGGACCACAGGTGCACACACTCTTGCACCCCAAAACTGTACTAGTGGCCACAGTTTTACTATCAATTTTGAAAAAAAGAATTGATGCACTAAATACAGCTGCATTTGAGTTGTTTTTTTTTTTTTTAAAGGCTGGGCTTTCATCCAATTTGAGGCGCCATTCATTGTAAAGTGCACCAGGGTTTCACATACTACTAAGAAAGAAAAAACTCGGCCAATCTAAACCCTGGCTCATTGCAGAGATGCCACGTATTGTAAGATAGACTCCAATTTCAGAGATCTTGAGATGTAAAAATTGCCCAAGTTGGTGATGAAATGTGGTGGTTTACATTCATTTAGGAGCCTGTGCTCAATAATGCCTCATTCTTTGAAGAATTTTCCCTCTGAGTTATAATTATTTCTTTGAAGTAAGAGAGTAGAGAAGTCTTGTCTAAGGTCTCCCTTCTTAAAAATAATTATATATGTTTTATGTGAAGTCATTCTAAAACAAGATGTTGTGCATACTTTCAAATAAAAATCTCAGTTGTCTCTAAGTTTATACAGGTGAGTGAAATGTAGGCATAGTTTAGGGAGTTTTTTGAAAGTAATCAAAATAGTGGTTCAGTAATATGGTATATTCATTAAAAATACTTTCGGAACTATATCTCCTTATTACATGAGAGTGAGTCATATTTTCATAAAAACATAATTTGAAAAACTGATAATCAGATAGAGAAGAGCCCTTTCTGATTTAAAATTATTTGAGGAGGAAAAAGAAGAAGAAAATAGAAAGAACAGAATGAGCTATAATTATTATATCACCTAAATGTTGTAATAGTTTCATTGTTATTTAAATTTTTGGTGGCTAAGATTTTTGATGGTGGCACAATTTGAATGTATCATCATTAATTGATTGTTCTTTTATTTTTGGACATTTCAGCTATCTCTAACTTTTACTACTTTAAATAATATCACACAGTGCCACCAACTGAATATAATTGAATGTATCCCTGCCCATGAGGGCAGGAATTTTGATGTTTGCTTCCATAGGCCCAGCCCCTAGAACAGGCCTGTCACATAGTAGGCCCTCAAAAAATATTTTTTGAATGTTGTTGAGTGCATTTAGTGTAAATCGTAATGAATACTTTGTTCCTGACTCTGTTACTGGAGAGTACAAAAGGAAAGCTGGGGAGGTGATTAATTTGAGATGCCTACTTTGTAGAATTTTTAGAGATGTAGTTCGAATCTATCTTCCCAGGAGGTGCATTAAATAGCTGCTTTTCATTCCTTTTTGTCTTGGGTTCTTTAAAGAAAAATCCTTAATCTTAGCATGTCCATTTTTACTTTCTTAGAACATAAAGTTACCATTGTGATCAGAGGACATTACCAGGTAATTCCTCTGCCCACACTGGAATATTATTATTTTCTAGAAACTTCTCTACAGTCTTGTACCTTTATTCAGAAATGATTTTTAAAATTTACTTTTCATGGTCCATTCTCCAGCCCCACCTCTTATTTAGTAAATAAGTGTTTAATGCATTAGCTCTTTTCACCCAAAGCCCAGTGGCTGTATCTGTAGCTGGCACCAGTAGGTGGGCAATATTTTTAGCCATCTTTCTGCATTTAGAGCAGGTTTCTTAGCAGTTTGGTATTGAGACTTATCAAGGTTTCTGAAACCTGACTAGACATTTCAGGCAATGGCATTTTTTTGTAATATTTCAGTACTTTGAACAAGGCAAATTTAAAGAGTATGGACAGAGGGTATACAAGTTGCAAAATGATGTGTCCTATGATAGTGTGAGAACTTGGTTGACCTGACTCATCTGTTCTTTCTCCTTGTTCTCCCAGAAACCTGATGTCCTGACCACCGGGGCTGGTAATCCAGTAGGAGACAAACTTAATGTTATGACAGCAGGGCCCCGCGGACCCCTGCTTGTTCAGGATGTCGTTTTCACTGATGAGATGGCTCACTTTGACCGAGAGAGGATTCCAGAGAGAGTCGTGCATGCTAAAGGAGCAGGTGAGAGCTACCAGCGAGTGTGGGAGAAAGATGGTTTCATGACACCATGGTTAAAAATCATTGCTCAAAGGACCCAAGCACCTCTAATAAAAGTGCCTAATCTCTCTTCTTGGGAGAAAGGAAAACATGCTCATCAGCAGAGGAATTAGCAATTCAATGGTGACTGTTTCCTTGGATTATATATAAAATACTTAATGTTACTAAGCCCAAAGATAATCTTCCATTTCCTCTATTATGCAATTAAGTGAAGAAATAAGAAATTGGAAATACAGACACAAGTACACTGTAACTGCAAGAAGATTTAGATGGTTCACTAACTGGATAAGTACTGGAGTCAACTGTGTGAAATTGAGAATAGTTGTGTTAGGGTGGTGGGTTTGTGGAGATTTTCCCCTTTTGTCTAAAATGTCTTTAAAACTTTTATTTTTCTTTCATTCCAGAAATAGCAGATGGGGGTAGCGTTTAAAAGAAAGCTAAAAAATAAGAAAAAGAAAACTTGAAAAAAAAGAAGAACATGTTTTTCTTTTTTTTTTTTTTGAAAGATTTATTTACTTATGCATACAAGAACAGGGGTGTAGGCCCCCAGAGGCATGGGGGCTGAGAGGATTCACCAGAGACAGAGTGGGGAACAGAACAGGCAGATTGACTGAAGTACACTGCTGAGGGGAGCAGCGGGGGAGATAGGAGAGGTCTGCTGTGCCAAGCGTGTAGCTCTCTGGCCAGCCGGGGATCAATCTCATGCTTTGCAGTGGCTAGAGATAGCTTGATAGTGCTGTCTTTAACCACTGTACCACCAGGAAGGCCCAAAACATGTTTTTCTTTTAATTGCTTATGTGGACTTTCAATTTCTTTATCTTCTCTTCTTCCTAGATCAGATTGCTTCCCACTCCAGGCTCTTTTTTTTTTTTCTTTCTGGGTGGGATGGGAGGCTTTTCCTCATGACCTTAATATGCTGTTTGTTTCCACTTGGGCATCCTTACTAAGTGTTTAATCTGTTCTTCCTTATCCTGTATTTTCTCCTCCTCTTTTCTCTCTTCTTTTTCTTTCCCTGTTCCAAAATATATTTCACAGCCCTCTTAGGTCTGTGACTTTGGGTCAACCTTGGCTCAAGACCCCAGCCCTACTCATGTCCTCCTCTTCTTGGCTCTCCCTGTGACCCATTCAGGTTAGCACGGAGGGATAATAGGGCTTTGCATTTTACTCATCATTTTGTGTTTGGACATTTCCTCTTCCCGTCCTAAGGGAAGCTCCCACAGGCCACGGCTAAGCCATCAGTTTTGCTTGTCACCCAGATGCCTATTGAAGACCTGCTGGTCTGAGTGATGGTCTCACGATGAGGATTTCTGTGGCTTACTCACTAGGTGCCTTTGGCTACTTTGAGGTCACACATGACATTACCAAATACTCCAAGGCCAAGGTGTTTGAGCATATTGGAAAGAAGACTCCCATTGCAGTTCGATTTTCCACTGTTGGTAAGTCGGTCCGTTTGTATGACTGGTATTATTTAACTCAGCCATTTCTCATCTGTGGCATTCCTCATTTAATGTCAAGAAAAAACTTACCAGGAAATAAGCACTTCTGCTAATTATAGTAAAGTTTTATAGTAGAAAAAATACTTTCAGACATGGAGGAAGTTAGTGATAATTCTGTCTGTTGAAGTTTTAGGAAATCACACTTATCCCGAGGTTGTTGCTGCAACTCTGTGACATTTGGGAAGCATTTCCTTCCATGTGGTTGCTTCCAAAGGAAGTCCAGAATGGGAATCTTGCTCAATAACTTTGATAATATCTGCCCTTTACTGAGAATTACTCTGTGCCACTAGATGCTTTGCAGACAATCTTGCTGATCTGTAGATTTGCCCTGCAAGGTGGGATTAGTTCTATTTCGGAGAGGTTAAGTGATTTTTCTTGTGTTGCAGAGATAGTAAGAAATAGATCTGTCATATGTATGTCATGACATACAATGCATGATTCATTTTATTTCTATGGTGGTGTTTGTGCATTTTCAAATTTTAATGCAAAAATAAATTAAGAATAAGAAGCTATATTTTAATTCATTTTCTTAATATTAACCTCATAATCTTGACAACTCACTTATTCTCTTCAATTACTATGTTAGTCTTTGTAATTATTCTCTTCCCTTATTTTAATTCAAATTTTAATTACCTATTTGAACAAAGTCTATCTTATATAGATAATCTTTTCAGCTGTTATTACAGATCCTCTCTTATTATTCTCAATTAATTCTTTTGTTTAATTTGCAGACAGAATTATCTGGTGGGTGGTAGGAATAATAACCCAGTACTAGCTCACTTCCTGGAAGTGGGTTGAGGAGGAGAGATGTCTCATTTTATGTCTCATTTTCCTCATTTGAATCTTCTAGCCGGAGAATCTGGCTCAGCTGACACTGTTCGTGACCCTCGTGGGTTTGCAGTGAAATTTTACACAGAAGATGGTAACTGGGATCTTGTTGGAAATAACACTCCCATTTTCTTTATCAGAGACCCATTATTGGTAAGTGATATGGCATTTGCTTTCCATAGATGTTTGATGATTTAAATTGATTTAAAATTCTCTCTATAGATTCGGCATTTGAGGAGAAGCACTAGGAAAGGCAGACACAAGAAAATTTGGACTGGCTAGATTTCCATATAAGATTGGATAACAGCAGTAGTTGTTAGATTTGGTACTGCAAGATTCATTGATTTAATGGGAACAGTCCAGCTTTCCTTGTGCAGTATGGAGAGGCTTTGCCTTAGAAGCAGACCAAGGGTGTCCACGTACTCTTGAGTAAGCAGGAGTGATGTGTGTGTGTGTGTGTGTTTGTACATTTTATTCCTTAAATAGATACTAGAACTTTGAGTACATTTTAGATACTTTAGGGTATCATTGGTACTAGTTACATATATTGAGTTCATTTTATTTTAAGGTTGACAGCTTAAAGTTCTAGGATGAACTGTTCAGAATTATAATCCACAAACCTAGTAATCATCAGTGTAAGGTAAGACACTATAATTCTCATAAACTTAGTGTTGGTATCTTTTTTTCTCTCTTTTTCCATTAGTTTCCATCCTTTATCCATAGCCAGAAGAGAAACCCTCAGACACATCTGAAGGATGCAGACATGGCCTGGGACTTCTGGACCCTGCGTCCTGAGTCTCTGCATCAGGTGGGGACACTTCTTTTTTGACCATAGTGTATCATCTTAGATAGAGCTGTGAGTTATGCCTCATGATGCGTTTCGCCGGTTCTGGCTAATTGAATTGATTTCTGACCTTTATGGGAGCCTTCCTCAGATTTCTCAATCTTGTAAGAGTTTTATGATGATTGATTTTGTTAATCTCCCTCCATTCTAACATTATTGATTGATATTTAGCAATGTTAAGGATTAAAGTCTCTAGTATGAAGTAAAACTATTTGTATTTATTTATTTATTTATTTATTTTTTTTTATTTATTTGTTTGCTGGTTTGTTTGTTTTTTTGTTTATACATGCACTGGGCACAGTCAGAAGCGCGGGAGGGTGAGAGAATTCACCAGAGCCAGAGCAGGGAGCAGAGCAGGCAGAAGGACCGAAGTACACTGCTGAGGGGAGCAGCGGGCGGCAGGAGAGGTCTGCGCGCCATGTGGGACCCTCCTCCGGTGGCCGGGGAGCAGCCGGGGATCGAACCGGCGCCGCAGAGGCTGCGCGCAGTTTCGCAACCCAGCGCTCAACCGCTGCGCCACCGGGGAGGCCCTATTTGTATTTATTTTAATAACAAATAGGAGATTTGTTATTAAAATAGAATGTGAATAATAAGTTAGGCTAGCTTCAGATTTGTTATAGTTTTTTTTTTAATAAATTTTGATCCATGCAGTTAATGATGTACATATCATACTGCTTTAAAATTCTTCTGTTTGTTATTTTTTATAAATGATTATAATGGTAACCCTTCCTATGGGTGATTTGATGGACTAACATGTTCTGTGTAATAAGGAGATTTCTCTGGAAACTTAGGAGTGTCCTAAAAATCTAAGATGTCTTGATTTAAACTGATAGATTTTTGGTTTTATTTTTCCCTGTTCCTTAGGTTGCTTTCTTGTTCAGTGACCGAGGGATTCCGGATGGACACAGGCACATGAATGGATATGGATCACATACTTTCAAGCTGGTTAATGCAAAGGGAGAGGCGGTTTATTGCAAGTTCCATTATAAGGTATATGTTGCCTTTGCGCATGGGGCTCTGGGAAGACAAAGCTCCCATCACCCAAGTCTTCTTACTGTTCTTGAGGATTGGGCTAAGATCACAGCATTCTTCACCTTTTCCTTATCTCTAGCCCCCTGCCCCTTCCAAGGGTGGGAACTACTGATCTGGTTGATCAGTATCTTGAATATTTTGTTGGCCACCTCCCGAGTGAATATGCTGCCCAGGTGGAACTCTCTCTCTTTGGTTTCTTTTTTTCATGTGGCCAGATGATAAGAGCATACAGCTGCTGTTAATAGTCAAATTTTATTTGCCTGGATTGACTTATACTTACCAAAAAGAGCAGTGTGACGTCACAAAATGATGTGTCTGGGACATGCAGGATGGTTGGTGGCTCTGTAGCTAGATCAGTTTGAACTCAAATCTTCCTTCTTGTAGATAACTCATTTTACTAAAAAGTTCTCTGACTCCAGTTTTGTTGCTGTAAAATTGGGATAATAATATCACCTGTCCATGGTCCTGGAAAGATTGGATTTCTTGTAGGTTACTTTATCCCAAGGCACTGAGGTAATTTGTCTGGATTATTCTGACCTAATATTGCTTTTATACTAAGCCCAAGGGATTCAATGAAAACCAGAAAGTTATTGTATTACTGTACAATTTAGCTCTTTGGGTGACCTGTAGATGGTGATCTCCATTTTGTAATCCCAAATGTAGCTTCATTCCTAGTAAGGAAGAGGGTTCAAATGTTGTCACTATTCAGAAATATTTGGGATTTCTCTTTGCACCAGCCTTCTTGAGTTGACTTTTACTAAGGAAATCTCTCGATGGTGTTTCACTTGTTAGGGATCTTTCAGAAGAAGAAACATGGGAAATCCATTAAGGGACAATATCGTGTGATAATGGGAGTACTTGTGAAAGGGACTGAAGTTATTTGGGCCTTTCTGGCTTGTTTGGAAGTCAGAATACTGATTTCATGTGGTCATAGTCAGAACTGGTTCAAAGCAGCTGTCCGAAAGTTCTTTTCAGCTCTATGAACTATAATTGTATGATATCTTTAAAAAACTTAAGAAGGTATGAAGGTGGAGGAATACTAACTAAGCATGAGTAATTGATTTGAGCTCTTATATAAAATGGGTAATTAAAACATTTCATGTAGAAAGTGGGAAGTCCTTTAGTCATTTGCTTATTTTAAAAATATTGAAAATATTTTGATTTTTTATGATTTGAATAGTAACATGGTTTTAAAAATTCAAATAATACCCAACCTGGAAAACATTTTTGAAGTTGCTCAAGAAGTTAAACATAGGTTTACCATCTGACCCAGTAACTATTTCACAATATATACTCAAAAAATCCACTGAACTCAATACTTGAAAATACCTAAAATGGTAAATTTTATGTTATGTATATGTTTACAACAACAATTGTTTCAGATTGTCTGAAGGAAGTAATGAAACATTCTCTATATGGATGAAAAACAGAAAATACAGTTATTTGAAAAATTGACATGTCAATAATTATGTCAATAATTAAAAAATTCAAATACTATAGACTATATAAAAGGAAAGATAGGACTGACTTTAAATATGAAATGTGTAGATAGATTCCTGGAAAATTAAAGGAATCAGGGTATTCAGGTAGTGTTTCTTGTTGATAAATTCCTATTTGCATCATTTTTGAATAGTGGAATTATTATTACAAGGAAAATCCAAGGAAAGTTGGGTTGAGCATCTAACTTAAAATCCTTCAATGAATTAGTGACTGAAGTTGTATAACTTTGCCAATCGCTTTCAGTTTGAGCTTTTTTCTTTCATTCTGTAGACTGACCAGGGCATCAAAAACCTTTCGGCTGAAGATGCAGCAAGAATTTCCCAGGAAGATCCTGACTATGGCCTCCGGGACCTTTTTAATGCCATTGCCGCTGGCAACTACCCCTCCTGGACTTTTTACATCCAGGTCATGACGTTTAGTCAGGCAGAAAATTTTCAGTTTAATCCATTTGATCTTACCAAGGTGAGTCATTGAACAACTGGATTATTTTAGACTTTCTACATACCTTATTAAAAAAATTTTAATTTAAAAAAAAGTACAAGATACAGTGGTATACCCTTCAGATTTTCCTAGGCTGTGAGTGAGAGTGCAGCTGCATCTTACTTCCATGCTTCTGTTTGATACGTTTATGAAGCTCATCTCTGTGGCTTGCTTTATTGTTGTTAGCAGGGAACAAGTTTGAAAGGATGATGGAATTTTGCCCAGGGAAGCTGTCAATATTTACCACTTACTATTGTGAAAGATTGAACCCAAGCAGTGTATTTACCTTCCTTTCTTGCCTTGTTACTGTATATTAAATAATTATTTTCACTGACTTGATTATATTTGAGAATATTTTTTATGGATACTTTAATTTCCTTTAATTGATTGGTCATTGTGAATATGATTATTACTTTTAGATTTGGCCTCACAAAGACTTCCCTCTTATCCCAGTTGGTAAACTGGTCTTAAACCGGAATCCAGTTAATTACTTTGCTGAGGTTGAACAAATGGCCTTTGATCCAAGCAACATGCCACCTGGCATTGAGCCCAGTCCTGACAAAATGCTTCAGGTAAGCCTGGTGGATTGAGATGTTCTGAGGCAGGAATATATCCTTGCATATGTATACACACACACACGTGATGTAAATTGGCATGACCTTATATGAAGAATCAGCTACAATATCACAGAAACTTTAGTTAACCTGGGTCCTTAGTTCCTGTCAGACTAACTGAAATATCCTTTGTGAGCATTACAGGATAAACCAAATTTCATAATCAACTTTCTTCAAAATGTTAAGACTTTGACATCTTATTTTAAAAGAGTTATTAGAAAGGCCTCAGTTATTTGTAGAAGAAAGTAGTCTTTGTTCAGTCTGTAGCTGAAGGGAGGGAATATAGTTATTGATTACAAGACCTTGGTCAGCCTGATTTTATTCATTTCCTTTTCTGTGGTGATGCTTGAAGTTTTTCCATCTGTAAAAAGATCTGGAGATTATTTTTACAAACCAAATTTGTGTTGGCAGTGATTAACCATTTATCCTGGTAATGTTTGTAGGCATTACACATTTTTTTTTAAGATTTGTTTTTTCATTTATGCATACAAGAACTGGGGTGTAGGCCAGAGGTGCTGGGGGTGAGAAGATTTACCAGAGACAGAATGGGGAGCAGAACAGGCAGATTAACTGAAATACACTGCTGAGGGGAGCAGCTGGCAGACAGGAGAGGTCTGCTGTGCCATGTGGGTCAGCTCCCTGGCCAGGGATTGAACTCATGCCACAGTGGGTGGCAATAGCTTGATAGCATTGAGATTTAACACCTGTACCACCAGGGAGGCCCACTTTCCACATTTTTAATCTCTCTTCAATATACTTTCCCAGGAGTACAAAGCATGAAACATTTTTTTTGGGGGGTACCAGAAATCAGTAGGGTTATAACTGGCTTAATAATTATGTAATAAATCAGTCTTTTGTGATTCTGGACTATGGGCATGAAACAGAAGTTAAAGATTATATGCTAGATCAGACCACAGTGATTGCGGCCACTTACCTAAGTTTGTGATCCCAGGTCAGGCGCCACCCACCATGGAAACAAGCTAACAACGCTGGTGGTTTAAATAATAACTTTTCTACTTTGACCTTGGAAACACCTAAGACTTTTATAGAAAATAAGCCTTTCATTAGCTTTAGTTCAATTTTACAGAAGGAATGACTACCTACTCTGTGCAGAGGAGGACTGTCATGGCGCTGTCATGGGTGCTGTAACTGATTAAAAAAAATACAAAGTAACCAGGATGGGAGGCAGAATGACATGGTGCATCAGAAGGAGAAATCCTGTCTGGCAGGAGGATGAGGACAAAGTTTTGAGAATGAGGTAGCATTTGAAGTGACTTTTGAAGAATGAATTGGATTTTGATTTTCAACAGAGGTAAAACGGGGCAAGAGAGACCTGGGAGAATAGGCACAAAAGTGCACCATGCTGGATATATTTCTTTCTTTCTTTATTTTTATTGTTGCTCTTTATTTTATACATTTTTTAACATCATTTTTCATTTTTGCACAATGTATGCATTTTCTTTTTTATTTATTTATATTTTAATTTAAATTTTATTTTTATATTCCCCATACAATTACAACCCCCTTATTTTGACCCCAAGCCCTCCTTTCCCCGCCCTCCACCCCCCATAGAGTGTCTCTGGTTCATAGTTATTTGTTGATTTTGATATTTTCTTTCTTATAGTTATTCTTTTTCCTTGTCCCTTATTTAAGTTTTCTAGATTCCTGCTATGAGTGAGACCATCCGGTATTTTTCATTTTCTTTCTGGCTTATTTTGCTGAGCATGATCCCTTCCAGCTCCATCCATGTTGCAGCAAATTGCATGTGTTTATCTTTTTTGAATGCTGAGTAATATTCCATGGTGTATATGTACCACATCTTCTTGATCCAGTCATCTATTTTTGGGCATTTGGGCTGTTTCCAAAGCTTAGCTATTGTAAACAGTGCTGCTATAAACATAGGGGTGCAGGTGTTCTTTGGAATTGATGTTTCTGTGTCCTTTGGGTAAATACCTAGGAGTGGAATTGCTGGGTCATATGGAAGGTCTATGTTTAGTAGGTCCAGAAATCTCCACACAGCTCTCCATAGTGGTTGGACCAGTTTGCACTCCCACCAACAGTGCAGGAGAGTTCCTTTTTCTCCACAACCTCGCCAACATTTGTTGTTGCTAGTTTTTTTAATATGTGCCATTCTCACTGGTGTAAGATGGTATCTCATGGTAGTTTTGATTTGCATTTCCCTGATTACAAGTGATGTTGAACATTTTTTCATATGCCTGTTGGCCATTTGCATTTCCTCTTCAGAGAAGTTTCTTTTTAACTCTTCTGCCCATTTTTTGACTGGATTATTTTCTTTGTTTTTGTTGAGATGCTGGATATATTTAAACTGTAAAAATTTGCTCTTTCTTGAATTCAAGGAAATAAAATTGGACAGGGACATTGATGTCAGAAGGGCCTTAAAAACTTGAGTAGACGTTTGTACAGTTCTTCCTTCTAGGATAAGACAAAGTTTCTTCAGTTTTGAGATATGTGATCTGGCATATATTAAGTGAGATCACTCCTTTTTGCACAATAGAAAAAGAGGGAAACAGGGTTGGGAATAGAAAGGGGAAGTGAAGCAGATTTCAGGGAGTAAGCACAAGTACTTGCATTGAAACTGGGGAGCAGATGAAGGCAAGACAGTGGGAACCTCTCCTGCCTGGGGGCTGGCAGGGAGTGAGCTGTGGGAAGGACATGCTGTTGGAATTTGCTGTGAGACAGGATTGTCCTGGGAGGGCTAAGGCTGTGGGAACAGGTTGAGGAGTACAAAATCACGCACAGTCTTTTCACAAGAATCCAGGTCACCTTGGTTCGAGGGGCCAGAGTGAGACCTGGAGGCAGTTAGCAACTGAGTCATTCAAGCTGAAGAGCATGGAGGCCTTGGATTGAGGCCCCACCCCAGGGAAAAAGAGCTGTATCACCTATGAACAGGCTCTGCAGCAACAGCAAAGAACAAACGCATAAGGCATCTCATTGAAACTGGGAGAGTGTCCTGAAGAAGGACAATAAGTGCAAATGAGTCATTAGTTTCTGACAATATTCATTTCAGTCTAACAAACATTTTAAATTTATTGTTTTGGCTTTATAGTTTTTTTAAAATTATTAAGAAAAGTGTTTGAAAGAATAGGTTCAGGGCCTTCCTGGTGGCGCCAGGGGTTAAGACACAGCCTATGAAGATAACTGCAGCCACTGCAGCATGAGTTCGATCCCCGGGCAGGGAGCTACCCACATGGCGCAGCAGACCTCTCCTGACTCGCCTGCTGCTCCCCTCAGCAGTATAGTTCAGCGGATCCGCTTGTTCTGTTCCCCACTCTGTCTCTGGTGAATCCTCTCATGCCCCCCCCACACCTCTGGCCTGTACCCCAGTTCTTGTATGCATAAATAAGTAAATCTTTAAAAAAAAGAAAAAAGAATAGGTTCAGCCAAGGCACACTAGTCTAGTTTTTCCCTGACTCCAAAGGTGACTTAGGTGCTATGCAGCTGGCCAGGACTCAGAGAGCAGGCAGGGACTGAGGGACTAAATTTAGCCATTTAAAGACCAGTGAGCAATTGTTTGAAGCATCTGTGTGGAGCCTTAGGCAGATTCTGGCAGGGTGGCAAGAATGTGTAGGGTGAGGCATCGTGGGAGGAGGGACTGAAGTGGAGAGTCAGTTAGGACTTGGAAGCCTCTCTGATGGGAGCTCATGAGTGCTTTGGCTCGGGTGGTGGAGGCGGTGTGCGAATTGACCATGTTCTCAGTTACCTTTCAACAAGGTCATGCTAGTAAATTTTAAACTTTGTTCCCCCCAAATGGTAAGCCAGACCATGATGGAACGGATAGGTAGAATTTTGCAAGTCACAGAGAAATAGTCCTGCGAATACCTGAAGGTGCAAGTGCGACTGTACTCTGTGGTTTGCCAGGAGTGAGGAGTTGGCTGGTGACTCGGGGGAGAGCTTTGTTCTGCTTTCTCACCCGGGCCCTCAAGGGAGCTCAGGCACAGAGACTTAGGTTCAAGTTGGTGTCAGGGTATGGCCTCACTGTGCTCATTTCCCAACCTTTACTTTGTGGGTGTCCCATGACCAGCCGGTTGGGGTTGTTTGATAAATATAAGGTGACATAAAACCAAATTTATGTGATTGACATTGTATCCAGCTTTTGGCTTAAGTGTGTCTTCTAGCCAGTTGGTAATGTTAAAGCATGACTTACTCTATTTTGAGCTGAAAGAGGCAACCAACTTGCAATTTACAAGTGGATCTTAGTCCAGCTGCATGACCAACTCCTAAATATCAGCTTGGACTATTTGGAATGAATATGGAAGGTAGAGTCCCTCACCCCAGAGAAGTTATTGACATCATGATGAGACACTGGATTAAGAATGTTCTTATGAGGACCTCCCCGGTGGCGCAGCAGGTTGAGCACAGCGCTGTGAAACTGTCCGCAGCCTCTGTAGTGCGGGTTCGATTCCCAACTGGCCAGGGAGAGACCCACATGACAGACCTCTCCTGTCACATCTGCTCCTCTCCTCAGCAGTGCTTTCGGTCTGTCTGCCTGTTCTGCTCCCTGCTCTGGCTCTGGTGAATCCTCTCACCCTCCCTCACCTCTGGCCTGTACCCCAGCTATTGTATAAATAAAAAAATAAATCTTAAAAAAAAAAAAAAAGAATATTCATATGAGTGATTTCATACAAAATAATTGTTTAAGTTTGCCCAACCAGATTTTGGTTAGAGATATTAGAATACTCTTTCAGATTCCAGGCCATTGACTTTCAGATTCAAAGTCAATGAAAGAAAACTGCTGATAGAATTGAGCTTTGAATAATGAGAATATTTAAATAGACAATAAGATTAATGTAGAATTAATCACACTACTTTTTTTTTTTTTTAAGATTTATTTATTCATTTATACAAGCACTGGGTACAGTCAGAAGCGCTGGAGGGTGAGAGAATTCACCAGAGCCAGAGCGGGGAGCAGAACAGGTAGAAGGACTGAAGTACACTGCTGAGGGGAGCAGCGGGTGGCAGGAGAGGTCTGCATGCCATGTGGGACCCTCGCCGGCGGCCAGGATCGAACCGGTGCTGCAGAGGCTGCGGGCAGCTTCGCAGCCCAGCGCTCAACCGCTGCACCACCAGGGGAGGCCCCGATCACACTACTTTTTGTTTAGCACTAACTAAAGAAATAGTAAAATGCCTACCCTTCTGCCTTGGTAAACAGGTGACTTAATTTAATCTTTGATTCAAGACCTTGGCCCTCACTTTGAACCAGTTTTATAAAATATAAAAATCAAATCATTTTATATTTGATTTATATCTAGAAGGTTTCAGAGCTAAATCCAGAACACAACATGGGATTTATATTTTAAAATAATTTCCTACACAGTTGGTTTCATAGAAATTCTTTTCTCTTTGTGAAGAGCAAATGGTTGATCGCCCCCTACCCCCCCAGAGTGGGACAATGGGGAGGGAAGGAATTAGTTCATGACTCCAGTTAGTTGGGTTCTCACAAATTTATTTTCCAGTATCATCTCCCAAGTTACATCCTTGGGAATTATTGGAAATAGTATAAGACAGGACACTAACTTGTCATTTGAGGAAAAAAAAAGGAATAATTATCTAGAACAGATGCGAAAACAACTTGCCTGTCCAAAAGGCATGACAGATGAAGGGCTGTTCACTTAGGGAGAACTCATTTCATAAGGGACAAGAAACTTTGCTCTTCTTTACTGGGGCACAGGCATGGGTAGTGGGGATCACGCACAGAGTGCTTTGTACTTGGAATCTTAGAATCAAATTTATCATCATTGGGCCTCCCCTGGTGGCGCAGTGGTTGAGCGCTGGGCTGAGAAGCTGCCCGCAGCCTCTGTAGCGCCGGTTCTATCCCGGGCCGCTGGCGAGAGTCCCACATGGTGCGCAGACCTCTCCTGCCGCCCGCTGCTCCCCTCAGCAGTGTATTTTGTCGGACTGTCTGTTCTGTTCCCTGCTCTGGCTCTGGTGAATCCTCTCACCCTCCCACGCTTCTGACTGTACCCAATGCTTGTATAAATAAATAAATAAATATTTAAAAAAAAAAAAAGACACCATGGCTCACTTAAAAAAAAAAAAAAATTTATCATCATTCCTGTCTTTGCGTTTGTACGCACACAGCCAGCCTCTGTTTCCTTTATAACTGCAGGGCCGTCTTTTTGCTTATCCTGATACTCACCGCCACCGCCTGGGAGCCAACTATCTTCAGATACCTGTGAACTGTCCCTTCCGCACTCGACTGGCCAACTACCAGCGCGATGGCCCCATGTGCATGTTCGACAATCAGGGTAGGGACCCCCTCCCCCCCCCCGCCCCCACCTCTGCCGCCCAGCAAGGAGGTTTTAACACCTGAGGATTTTTCCTTACTTTTAAATGTATTTTATATATTTCTGTGTTTTATTGAGAGTGCCCCCTTTAGACTTTCCTTGCTGTCCATTGATAGTTAAAGGCAGGAGGGAGATCTTTCCCACTGGTTATAGTAGAATAGCCTCCACCTCTGGGGTTAGGTTTGAAAGGTGCTTCACAAAACCGGCAATTCCTTCAGTCACTCTCAGTCACCAGAATTGACTCTTGGAAGTGCAAAAGTTAATAGTTCATAGCTTTTGTTTTTCTTTTTACTTCTGCTGGGGCTGAGGAGGGGCAAGTGTAGCCAGACTCTGGGCCTTCTTGTGTCCATCTTCTGTAGTTTTATTCTAATTTTCTTTTCTATCCCCAATTCATATTTTTCAGTCCTTTTGTTATTGAGACTGGCTGTATGGAGGGCGGGGGGTGTCATGTATATTTTGAAACTTTATTAATAAGTAATTCCTTCTCGTTTACTGTTCGTGCTAACCACTGCAGTGGCATACATATGAAACAAACCTTTAAGGATGTATTTTGACACTCCCTTTGACTAGTTTTAAAGGTGGAGTGTTTGGAATGTGCTCTTAAAGTTTGATGAAACAACTTAAAGGTTCTCAGGTGCTGGAAGAAAAGAGGGGATGGACAGAGAGACAGATGGGGTGCTGGCACGGGGGATTAGGTGGAGGGTGAGTAGAACATGTGCGCATAGGGAAGAACAAAAATGTAACCCCCCCCAAATTAAAAAAAAACAAACAATTCTCCCCACCTTGTCCCCCCCCCCAAAAAAAAAAGTGTTCCCAGGAGTTGAAGACAACCTGAATAAAAGGTCAGAATTTACTTGGAAATAGAATGTTTTAATTACTCAAATAGGCCCATTTCAAAGAGGCAATTCTTTATGCAGAATTCCACTCTAGATGGCTGGTTATTGGAGCACTTTACTTTTCACGTAGATGTGGCTGACCTAGAATGAATTTCTTGGGGTGATAATTGGGCTCCAATAATAGTATGGTATCCTCCCTCTTCTTGCCAGCACTTGGTCAATATGCTGTATAGGTACCTCTTGATTATCTTGTTTGAATAATCGATTCTGGCAGTGCCCTGAGTAGAATGCCAACCCAAACTGGCTTGTTCAAAGCACTTAATATGTTTCTAGGCCACTCCTTCTGTGTACAGTCAGTGTGTGCTCAGGTAATTCAAGCTTCTGATAATATAAACTGAAGTCGAGAATAGTTAGGAAAATAAATATGCCAAAGTGAAGGAAAAAGCCTATACATTATTCCAGAAGTCATAAGAGTGTTTTAACTGTATTTGTCATTACTTTTTTCCCCTCTAAGTCCAGGTAAGTAAGCGTTACCGTACTAGAAATATCAAATATCTCTCTGGGAAGGGAAGTAAAAGTGAAGCTAGAATTGAACCAAGTCATCACAATCAATAAAGGAACGATGGCCCATGAATTTTGAAAACATTTAAGGAATCTCAGAGTACGGCTCTGTAATGGAAATGAGTGTGCTCTGGAATGGAAGAGACAAAAGAACCCAGAGTTTTAATCCCAGATTTACCACTAATTGACCTGACAGCCATCAGGTAACATCTCAGAGCTCCAAACTTCCAGTTGAAGGAGTGGAGCTTTGCTCCCAAGGATTCTGTGATTCAGTGTTTAACTGATTCCAAGCGCAGGTGAAACTCAAATCTGCAATGTATCCCTGGGTCACCTCGTCAAACCTGTATACATTTATTTGTACTGGTAAGTCTCAGAAGACTGTAGATTAGACTTTTGAAGTGTTCAAAAGGAATTTGAGAAACTCTTTATTGAGTCTGAGAGTGAGACAGCCCCCTTCAAGCATTTGGAAGAAGGCAGTATTCTCAGAATCTGAGTACTGCCTGCAGCTAAATGTGGGACATTTAAAATAATATGTGCATAATATGGTGCACATATTATAAATAATATGGTGTGTGTGTGAATGAGCGATTGCCACTTGAATTTATCTCATTGACGATTTGCGAGTTTGTTTCATTATTCATCTCCCTAAGTGAATATGTACGGCTCTCCTTTAAAGGCGGTGCACCCAATTACTACCCCAACAGCTTCAGTGCCCCGGAGCACCAGCACTCTGCCCTGGAGCACAGATCTCGATACTCTGCAGACGTGCAGCGCTACAACAGCGCCAACGAGGATAATGTCACTCAGGTACAGTGTCTTCCTCTATCAACGTCGGCATATTTCCCTCCTCTTCAAGTGACTAATATATCTTAAATTGAATACAGGGAAGATATTGCTAATCATTAATTAGTCACTTTGTTAGATGGAGTTGAAGAGTTATGTTTCTTTGCTCTTTGTTTTCATTTCAGTTTCCTCAAATTTCATTGAAGGGATATGAATGAGGGCTGTTGGGGAAGCAGTTCTTCCCCAACTAAGAAATAGATAAGTACCTCTAAGTAAAACCGAATCTAAGGATCTGGGCAGGACATGCAAATTCAAGGGCTAGAGAACTGGATTCACAGCAGCACTGGAGCCTCAGTAGCAAGAGTGTGGGTTTTTCCCCTATGAGGCACACCAGTCACAAGACCCTGTTACTCCCCATCTGCCTACTCCTTCTTTCTGGTACCAATTGCTTATTTTTTCTGTGGCCTTCTATTTTCTCCACTTGGCCACAGAGCTCCTGTTTCATCACTGGTGTGACTTGGTCATGACGATAAATTCTTTATGGCTTCTTTCTCTGTATTACTTTTTTTTCTTTAGCCATCTTTTCCTCATCTCTCAATACGTGTGTCTCCTATTCTAGAGAGAAGAATTCAGATTGATTTGGCTAATCTTTTCACCCTAGGTTGCATCACGTGGCCTTTGGCCGGCCCTCAGTGACCTGCCCTGGGTCAGGTGCTCACCCTGCTTCCCGTCACTATGATTGCCTATGGGCTGTTCTCTCCCTAGAGGCTACAAAAGAGGCCCTTTGATGGTCCCATGTGTGGGTGGCCTCCTCATGACTGTGTCTAACACATTTTACACCACATACAAAAAAAGAATAAAGTTAAAATTTTAAAAAAGTGAGAAACAGATGTCAACTACAATTTTAAATTATTCCTAGAGTTCAAAACCTTTTTTTTCATCTTTATGCTAGTGACGTTTCTTTCTTATGTCAATGAAAAGTCTTACTTTTTCATTTCAAATGTGGTATTTTGGGTGAATTATGTTCACAATAAACTGCATCATCTCTGTTCATTGTGCAGGTGAGGGCATTCTATTGCTCCGTGCTGAATGAAGAGGAGAGGACACGCCTGTGCGAGAACATTGCCGGCCACCTGAAAGACGCACAGCTTTTCATCCAGAAGAAAGCGGTGGGTGACACTTTGTAAACTGAAGGGCGACATCTGCTGGCACAAGAAGGGAGCGCAGCTATATGAGGGCCCTCATGGGGAAAACAAAGCGTCCTTCCTTTTGTAATTGTGCAAAGGGAACTTAAAACAAAATTAGTGCTCTTCCCCATCCACCTCTGATTATTTTCTCCTAATATTTTCTCTGATATCTTATGGCATCTCCATTGATCCTTAAGTTCTTTGTCCAATGTGTGATAATTTAGTTGAATTCAAGGTCAATTTTTTTCTATGCTGTTTAATTTGGCTATAGCCAATTCTGTGGAAGCTAGTAAAGGTCCACTAAAAAATGGGCTTGAACCCTTGGCATTCTTCTCTCACATTTGCTAACACTGTAAGGCTTCATGTGGGTTCCTCGTGCCCCATCTCCTGCTCTCTGCTCAGGCTCAGCCTGTTCTGTTGTTTTTTTTTTAAACACAATGAGATTCCCACTTTTAGAAAACCTGGACCTTACTTGGTGGCAAAGGAAAAAGCTCATCGGTGAGGGTCAGGACTGATCCCTGCACCCCACGCTGCTCTCTGCAGTGAATTCCTGCTTGAAGTATGTGGAATTGCCCAGCAGATGCCAGTATCTTTATATACCCACTTTCAATTCAGGCAGTGTCTGGGTCCATTTCTTAATGCAAATTACCGTCACTTGTTGGAGTTACTTTGATGTCAGCTTTTCACATGCAGTAAATGCAGCTCCCAACATATGTGTCTTTCACACAATTTTCTGTGAGGTAGATTTCACCATTGTCCCCATTTTGAAGTTCAGCTGAATGACTTGTCCATGGTTGCTCAGCCAGTATATGTCCGGGTTTTCACTGGACACTAGATTTACTCCCTGTTGACGCTGTGGTCCTAACCCCTGCTGAAGGGTCCTTCTGCCCCAGAGTAAACACTGGGGATGAGTCATGATTGTTTGCATTATTTTACTTGGTTTCAGGTCAAGAACTTCAGTGATGTCCATCCTGACCTGGGGGCCCGCGTTCAGGCTCATTTGGACAAATACAACTCTATGAATTCTAAGGTGAGCCCAGAGCTGCCTGATCATGGCAGACGGATGTGAGTCCCTGATTAGACTAGACATGGTTCAGTTTTCTTTTATGATGGTTCTCCTCAGGCACAACTACTAGATTTCTTAAGCAGCTGTTTAGAATCTCACTTGAGATTTAAAGAGCTCATCTGCAAAACTCTTCATTTCATTTTATAATCTATAGGATATTTAAGGTGGATGGATTTTGAGTTGTTATTTTCTTTTGAGTACAAATGAAGCTAAAGTAAATGCCAAGTTGCATCTGCCAAGTGAGTTAACCTGCTGGTCTTGCTCTTTTAAAACAGAAATCAGTTCACACCTTTATGCAGCCCGGGAGTCACTTGGCTGCAAAGGAGAAAGCTCATCTGTGAGAATCGGGCCCCTTTTCCTGCACCCGGAGATGCTCAGCCTGTGAAGTGAAGAATGGTATCACACATAACCCACTCATTGCTGGATAAAAGATTCTGTGCTAGATTGCCAAATACAAACTAATGTTTTTAAAACGATAGTCCAGGTTTCAGTAGCAGATAATGTAGTAATGGCTTTTAATGCTATTTCCCTTGGGGAAAAATGAAGATTTGGGTTTAACAGTCACTTAATAGAAACATGTATTTGCTTTGACAGTTGGATGGATTATACATTTAAAATGGCTACAATAAACATTTCTAGAGAAATATGATTGTATTTGATAAGAGGAAATCTTGGTGAAATTAGTAGATGTGTATCATCTCATGGCCGATTATATACAAATACGGCTGCAGTTGTACAAGAAAAAAGATAAAGATAATCTGCTCAGAAATTGTAGTTAAAAAAAGTCTTATAAGGAAGACATTTAATACTTTGGTGTCTTTTAAAAATAACTTCAGTACCCAGTACCATGGCTTAATGATTATTCCTGCTTGGAATTGCTCAGATTGTTTTTTTTCTATTTGGAATCATATTAATGCTAATATAATACTGATTTTGCAATCAATTGATTTGTAATTGCTTACATTTTTGCAATAAATTAATCTACACAAGAATAGAAGAATGGTATTTGATTTTTTATTTCGGCTTCATATATGTAACTCAATGTCTCACCAGACTCTCAATCTGAGTATCACTTGTTAGCAGATGCTTACTCTTCAAATTGAGAAATGCTAATATCACAAGGAGGCTATGCCATTTGTTTAAATGCTAGCCTTTAGAAACAGCCTACTGAGACACTGGGGACCTTTATTGGGAAAACAGCAAACTTTGAAAAATGCTTAGATCTCCTGTCCATTCACTCACTACCTTATCTAATTATGAATTTTTAAAATAAGGGTTCAGACCCCTCAGTTATTTTTTAACCCATATTTGCCTATCACGCTTGAAAATCACATGGAACACTTTAAAGTGAATTCTGAATATTAAGTGAAACCTGTTTTCCTTGGAAATCCTTGTTTCCTCTGTCTCAGATCTCTAAGACCAGTTTGTACTTACTCTCAGGAATTCCCTGAGATCTTGGGCTTCAGAAAACAATTAGACCTCTTATGGAATCAAACTTTTAGTCTCTTAGCTCAAACTTAATCTCCTGTCAAACTCTCCTGCCTAAATTCCTCAAGTCTTTGTGCTTGAAGATTATCACATGTGTAGATATAGAAAGTAAATGATTCAGAGATAAATACTCTCAATATAGTAGCTTTACTGTTGTTATAACTCTTTATAGTAGTAAATATACAAGGTAAATGTATAAAAATTAATATAATTTGATAACGGGAAAGAGGTTATTAATTTGAATACTGAACACAAAAACAGTTTTTAAGATTTTCTACTTTATTCCATTGTGTAAAAGGAGTTGATAGCTAAAATCACTTTAATATGCTGACTGTATGTAACAATCGAACACACTTTGCTCTGGAGACCTCTTAGTATAATTTTCAGAGATAAATTTGGTGAGGTTAGGTTTTACTGGCAGGTACTAATTATATTCCTTTTAAGTGACATTATGATGACATTAAGAGTTTTTGAGCCAAAGCTGTAAGGATTGTAGCACAACCAACCCATACCGGGTAGGTTCACTATGGGTTCTGGCAAATACGTAGGGATGGCAAGCAGAATAGAGGTTACCAGAGGTGGAAATGGGGAATTATTGTTTAGTGGTTATAGTGTTTCTGTTTGGAAAGATGAAAAAGTTACAGTAATGGGTAGTGGTGATAGTTTCATGACTATGTGAATACATTTAATGCCACTCAAATAAAAATGGCTGAAATGATAAATTTATGTATATTTTATCACATTAAAAAGATCCATGTTTCATTCTCATTCCTAGTCTTCTGTGCCCTCTTCAACAGCGTTTGACAGAATTGATCACTGGAACTGTCTTTTTTGAAAATGACAACTTTTTTGAGATTTAATTCACTTCCCATAAAATCTGTCACTTAATGTGTACCATGCAGGGGTTTTTAGTAAAGGCGTTTAGAGGTGTGCAACCATCACCACAATCAATTTCAGAACATTTTCACCATTCCCCCCCAAACCCTGTACCCATTAGAAGTCACTCTCTGTCTCCAACTTAATGCTGCAACCAGTCCTTGTCACCTTGAACTTACAGAGTTGCCTACACTGCATATTTCATTTACATGGAATCAAACAATATATGGATTTTGTGGCTGCCTCTTTAGTATGTTTCAAGTCCTTACATGTGGTAACATATTGGAACTTCAGTTCCTTTTATGGCCAAATGTGTTTTGTCCTTTGGATGAGGCTGTGCTTTATTTACTCACTCCTCATCCCATAGTTAGTGGGGTGGTTTCCCCTTTTTGGCTACTGTGAATAATGCTGCTGCCAACTCTTGTGGACATGTTTTCGTGTGGACACATGTTTTCATTTCTCAACATTTTCACCTTTAAAGATGTTTTGGCTTAAGGTTGTGGTACACCACTCCCTAAAATTTGACTTGTGGTTTTTTGAAAATGGATTACTTCTTCCTCTGAAAAGAGGACTTAGCCTAGGCTTGTGGAAATGCTGAGAGATCACCTTGTTCTTTTCAAATTCAATGTTAGAATTTCAATTTAAAGCCGAAATTGTTTCCCTGATAAAAGGACATCATTTTAATTTGTAATCTCTGCTAAGGAGATGAGTTGTAAGAACTTCTTAGCCCTCATTTTTCTGAGAGAAAAATTATGGGCAAGGTCTTTGGCCATTTCTTTGCCTCTTACTCTGTGGTATTATTAAAAGGCGAAGAGTCACATTCCACTTTGATGATCTGATAAGACAAATTGGAGGTTTTAAAATGCTTATCAGAGCTTTAAAAAGATGTGAAGGGTTAGAAGAGAACTCACAAAATTCTGTATACTTTTGAATGAGAATTTTAAATGATCACATTCATATATTGAAAGTTTGCTATGAAAACCTCAACTGCACTCCTTTTTATGAAGGAAATACTCCTTCATTTATTATGGTAAGTAAATTTTGCATTGTCTTTTTATTTTCTTGTTTTGCTTTGGTATTATTTGCTAAAAGAGTGGTCTTTTATATAGTCCTTTGTGTTTTCTGTTGTTAATGGATTATAAAGCTATATGTTTAAATAAAATTCTCATTTTTAAGAGCATACTGGGTTGAAGGATAGCCTTCAATAGGAATTTATCCATGTACTAACCTCTGGAACCTGTGAAGCTGACCTTATTTGGCAACAAGATGTTTGCCAAATAAATCCTTAAATTGGGGCTCTTCAGATGAGATCATCCTAGATTATCCAGACAGAACCTCAGTCCGGTGAGAAGTGCCCTTCACAGAAACCAGGGGAGAGGGAGGAGCAGGAGTCTAGAGAGACAGAGATTGGGAAGTTAGAGCTCCAGGCTGAGAAACAGGCAACATGGGAGTTACCTGAAGTCGAAGAAGCAAGGAGGAATTGTTCCCCGGAGCCTAAGGCAGGAGGAAGGAGTGTGGCTCTGCCAATACCTTGATTTCCGACTTCAGCCTCCAGATCTGTGAGAATTAATTTCTGTTGTTCTAAGTCAACTTTGGTTATTTGTTTTGGGCAGACCGAGAAACATACAAAGAGGGTGCTAGTTTAATGGATCTGGAAAAATGAAAACTTCCTGAGTAGCATCTGGATTAATTTTCTTGTACTCCAAATTGCTGGATGATCACACTCCACCCCCCGCCTTATTGGGGCCACACAGCATTTTTCAAGGAGCATGTCATTCCTTATGCCTGCTCTGCCCACACTTCAATCACCACCACCCCACCCCTCCACTTCCCAAGCATCTTGCTTCTGCTGCTTCTTTATTGCCAAGCTCTTTGCCTGAAAGCTCCCAGTCCCTTCCTGTTACTGAATTTCAAATTTCCTAGGCAGTCTCTTCCTTCAGTTGGACTTTGATCCAGTTCACTAACATGGTGCTTAGCTCTTCAGATGGCTTGGAGTCGTCTTCAGACCCCAGCATAAAGGTCCCAAATTCAAAATATATAAAAGTTTTGGATGTATAAAAAACAAAACCAAACAAACAAAACCCACAATAGTGCAAGCACAAAGCTGCGTAGCAGCCTAATAAAGCAAATGTCCAGAAAGTCATGTGATATGCTCTGGCCCCTGGGGCAGCTTCTACTTAGCTCAGGAATAATTGCTACAAGGCCCTGAGAAAACTTTTGTCAGCTCTGATTTTTTTAAAAATGCTGGAAATCTGGATTTTTCAGTATATCTTCTGACTTATAAGTAAGGCGATTCTCAGTAAGAAATGAAATAAATACTCAAAACAGTAAGTGAAAAAAAAATTGTGCGTGTGTCACAACCAAAACTCTATCTGCAGCGCTGCTGACCCATTTTGCCTTTGTCTTAAGGTGCGTAAGGGTATGGATAAGATCACTCCATATATTTCTTGCATCTCTTAGACACTTACAAAAAAAACCCATCTCCCAAAGGGAATGGAAAGGTAATCAAAGGTGTTTGAGGTTGTCCCCGGCTGCTGAGTCTGCTGGGTGAATTTCATGATAGAGAGACAGTTGAACATGTTAAATACTTTATTCACATTGTTTACAAACTATATCCACCTGGGAAACACATGAATCCAAAAATAGATTATCATACAGTAATTCACATTTTTTGAAACAAGTTACTTTTGCAGTTAAGTTCTAAGCACAGTGGTCCTCAGCCTGTGTGGTGGTCAGTGCCTTGGCACGTGAAGCTTCCTGGCTTGGGAAGCTGGAGTCCTAGGGACTGCCCACCCGGACTCTGCTCAGCAAGAGCTTGCAGCGACTACCAGTGACTGATGAGAAATGTCAGTGCAGACTTTAACCCGTGAACATTTACTGGTGTAAATTTGCTATTTTTGTCAAGGTAATATGTGTTTTAAAGCTTGAGTACAAATCAGGTAGGAAGACAAAATAAAAGAGAGCCATAATTTAACCTGGCTATGACAGCGGTGTCAGGACATTTCCAGTTCATAAAAGTTTAATGTCTTGGTCACAAGACAGAATCAACAAATGACAATTTTATCGATCTGACAGCTTGAATCACAGGAACAGCCCCTGTGCTTCGGAAATCCACGCAGGCGTCTGTTGACTCGGTGCCCCTATGATCCCCTGCCTCTCTCACCATCAGAAGAGGAGAAATAAACTCAGCAAGAATTAATGTGCCTAGTTTTAAGTGTGCTACTCTGGAAGGATGGTCCTGGGAGTTTTGCCAATTGACCACAGAAGATATGCTGGTTAATAAATTTACTACTAGCCTATCATAAATCCAGTTACGTCCCAGCTTGATGGCTTAGCTCTTTCATTAGAAACTGTTCTATGGAATTTGCCCTTCATGATTTAAAATCTACAGTATGTTTGTCTTACCCACATCTCACCCCTCCTACTATATCAGCTACAAACTAATCACCCCTTTGCGAGCTGCCACAGTTAAATATGGGAAAACTTTTGAGCTTTCGTAATAGAAGCGCTGGATGAGTCTCTAACGGCCCAATTAAATCCTTTTTCTCTGAGCAGCACCAATGGCATTGAGATTCTGCAACTCTTGATTAGGGAAATCAGGTTTGATCAAGTTATCACAAAAGATCATTTCCTCCTCCCCCCGGTTAAAAAAAAATTCTCAGGGGTTGCTGCCATCACCCCCAAGTGGAGGACAATGACTCGGAATCCACACGTAAGCTGGGATGTGGAGAAATTTTATCAGCACATTTGCAGGTTTCAAAAAAAAAAAACAAAACAAAAAACACAGACTTTCAAATGTCTATTGCAAATCTGATTGTTTTCAAAGACAGACATCCATAAAGTGAGCTTGACGATGGAGCGGATCATAGCTGCTCCTCCTGCCACCCGTGTGCATTTTTTCCGAATTTATACACTAACCTTCGGTCGACTCGTTCCAAAATCCCCGTTTTATAGTAGTATCTGCGAAAGACAGCACAAGAGAAATGTGGGGAGGGTCTGCACCCCAGGGAAACAACAGAACACAAAGACTTCATTGCTCTCAGGTGACGAGCTCTTGGCTCACCCTGGTATTTCCACACCCTCTTATCAACTTACACTTAAACCTTTCCCAGACATCGTGAGGACCGAACCTCACCATATTCAGTTCAAAATGTGTTTTGTGTGCGTGCCTGTGAGATGGGCCGGCTTCACGGTGATCCCCGGGGAATCCTGCCAAGCTTGAAAGCAATGGGGTGTCGATTTACACCCTGTAATCCCTCCTGTAACTAAGAACCGAAGTTTTGTCTTGTGACCTTGTGCTCACCAAATAAAAAACTGCAAAAACAGTTTACTTTTCTGAGGCTGGCCATTTTACATAACTCTACTTGAGAGCTCATGACACTCGGCGCTATTAACTTACCTCAGGGCTCTGCTCAACTTCTCGTACGTCATTCTGTCATTTTTCTTCCTCTGTCCCCACATCTTTGCCAGTGCTTCTGATTTAACCACTCGAAAAATACCTTGTTCCCTATCTTCCCACTCCAGAATGCCACAGTTTTCTTCGGGAGATAGGAGCAGGTCTCGCACAAATTCCCATAGATGTGAACTTTGGAGGCCTTTTGAGAAGGAAAAAGAAGTTACTTTCAAGATATGTTCAAGATAAGTTTTTTTTTTTAATTTTAAGAGCAGAACTGTACAACTTATTTAACCTGGTGAGAATTACTTATTTCTCATAGGTAGGACTGGGGGCTCTACTTGGAACCTGTGCGAGCTGCCTGAGATGTGTGTTCTATGGAAGCACTTACCAAACACACACACACACACATTGATGGCAGCCTGGTAGCTCACAGACTGCCTGGAACTATGGACTAATATGAAGTCATAAAATGACTTTTTTTTTCCTGACAGGTTGTGAGGTTGTGGTACAATGTCATAAGCACATCTGTCTGGGTGGAAGAATCCTACAATTAAGTTTTTATTTCTCTACTACCTTCTTTGGGAATGACTGAGCTCACTCAAACATTCAGTCTCAAAGCTTTTAGAAGTAGACAGATTACTTCAGAAAGTAAACAAAAACAACAACAAAAAAGAAAAAATCCTAAAAAATGAGAAAAAAAAGAAATTAGATATGAAAAATGGCATCTCTAACTTACTTGTTCGACTGTGACTGTGACAGTCTTGACCTTTGATACCACTTGTTTTCAAACAACTGGAATCAGCATCTGTAAAAGAATGATTTACAGCTGTAGGAAGGACTCAGTGGGACACATGCAGACCTCAAATCACACCAGGATGAGCAAATATTCACTGAACAGCTTTGTGATGGAAGAGTCTGTAGATGATTTGGGGGTGATTAGCAGGTGGGAGGTAAAAAGATGCTAAGATGTGATATTTGCTTTTAAGGGGCCTTTGTATTCAGTATTGGGGACCTACAGTGTGAGGTTCTGGACTCTGTGCTGGGGGGACTGGAGTGAATGGACTGGGTCTCTGTTCACATGAAATATAAGGACTAACTGGCGAGGTGAGACACAGTGAAACAACCAAATCACCCATTGTTTTAAGTGTAATGACGGAAGTAAGAGGCCAGAAAAAGAATGAAGGTGACCCAGGAGGCTCCATCAAAAGACATTTACAAGTAGAGATAAAGGTGAGAAGGACCTACATGAGTAGGTGGAACAGTGTTGCAGGTGGAAGGAACAGAATGTGTGAGGCCAAGCATGGACCTTGTACCAACAGGCAGGCAGGCAGGCAGGCGCTGTGTCAGGCGAGAGAGTGGTAACTCCTGAGGCTGGGTGGTCACATAGGGCCTTCCCTGCATGCCACTGTCACAACTTGGGTTTACTGAAAGTGCAAGATGATGACTTTGGAGTTTTTCAAAACACACATTTTAAGCAGCTCTTTCTGGCTAGTGTGTGGAGAACATACTGGAAGGGACACAAGTAAAAGCAGAGACCAGAGTTTATGAATATTAGAAAGCAGGGCATTAACTCAATACTGATAACTCAGAACTCACCTACTCCATAAGTAACACTGTAAGTAACCTGAGACACCATATAAGCATCATCCTAAAGTGATAAATGATTAACAAAAAAAGGGGACCAGATCTGTACCTCCTGACCATTTTGTCTACTCTGCTCCAACCATTCTGGTCTCCTAATTCTTCCTGAAACTTGCAGGCACATTCCATCTTGTAGGTCTTTGAGTGCTCTTTTTGGTTCTTCCTGGATTCACTCCCTCATCTCAATCTTTAACCCAAATCGCCTTCACAGAGAGACCCATTCTGACTACCTGAATTGGAATTGCACACACACTTCTGCTCAGTACCCCACACCCACTTCCCTTGTTTTATTTTTTTTTGCCATAATATTTATCTCCAGTGCACATACTATACAATGTATTTGTCTTAGTTCATGAGAAGGCAGGGATTTGTATCTTCAATTTTAGCCCATCAGTGTCTAGCACAGTGCCCGGGATGTACTACGTGCTCAATAAGCAGTCACTAGACTATCTACTATACTGCACTAACTGTCCTTGCATTGTATGATAGTCTAGTAGGTATAGTCTAGTAGGTATACTTTACTATAACTAATGAAAGAAAGAATAAGTATGCTATCAAGGGAAGGAGTGTATCCTGTGTACCACCCTGTTGTCCAGGGTGACCTGTCTCAGTGCCACTGGGGTCATGTCACTCCCTGGCTTAACATCCTGCAGTGGTTCCTGGCTGTCTCCAGGATGAAGGCTACCATGTTAGTTAGATCTACCTACCATCCCCACCCACCTCACCTGTATCTCTTGTTGCTCCCTAACTCCTTTTCTTCTCCTGGGTCAGACTGTCCCAATGGGGCTTAGCTTTCCCCTGCCTCAGGGCCTTTGCACAGATTCCTTACCTGCCACTTCTACCAAGCCAACTCCCACAGACCTCTTCTCTGCCCCTGATCTCTGCATGAGATCCCGTCTCTGTTCATAGCACATAGTAAAGATCAATCGTGTCTCTTTTCCTCCTCTACGAACAGCTTTGGGGGTACTTAAAACTAATGACCAAGTTCTGTTAAGAGCTTCATGTGGCGTATCTCATGTAATCCTTGCTACAAGCCACTATAGTATTACTGCTATTTCCATTTTATTGAGGAGGAAATTGAGGCCCAGCAAATTTAAGAATTTTATCAGAGTGATGGAGCCAGGACTTGAACTGTGAGCAGCTGTGTTACAAAGCCAATGTTCACAGCTATTGCTTTCCTATGCCTGTAATAACAGGTGTGCTCTTGGCCCTTAACCAATAATTAGCTCTGTTGAGCACTTGCTATTGTCAGGCACTCACGCCACCCTTGCACATCACTCACCCACCCTTGCGATGTATGTCTAGTGCTATCTCCATTTTACATCTAAGAAAACAGGTGTGCAGAGAGGGTGGGTGCTCATGTGGGTCATTCACTCATTGGCTCCTGTGCACAGACCCACAGTGTGCCCACTGGATCAGGCATTAGGGGCTCAGTACCAAACAAATCCAAGTCTGTCCTCTCAGGGGGTTTACATGCAAGAGGTTAGGCACACCTGATGAACAAATAAGGATGGTTCAGTCAGTGACACATGCTATGGAAAAGAATAAAGCAGGTAGCAAGAGGGGAAGTGATGGTGGAGGGGGTGTGCAAAGTGCCAGTTTTAATTAGAGCCAACAGGGAAGACTGACGAGGAGACAGCTGGAGCAGGAAAGGAGTGAGCCCTGGGGAGGTGTGGGGTGCACAGCCCTGTCATGTGGCCTCTGGCTAAGGCTGGAGCTGAACCCGCATCCACACATTCTGACGTGGAGGCCTTAGCACCAGTGACTCCAGCTGTCATTCACTGGAATGAAAGATAGGAACGCATGCCTTCAACTTCCACGGGCCCTGAGGCCCCTGAGGCCCCTGCAGGTAGTCTCGAATTGCTCCGATGTGGAAAAACCGGCCCTTGCACATGGCAGGTTTGCGCAAACCACACGTGGATGCACAAGTGAAATCAGCTGAAAATGGAGGCTGTGGTGGGTGGGGGGAGGTGATTAGGCCAGCAGGGCTGACAGCGGATCAAGATGAGGAACTCTGCCCCTCCGCCTGACCCATGCCCTGCTGCATGGAGCCACCCCAGAGCACACCCACCCGCTGCTTCAACCTAGTTCCTTCAAGAAGAGAGAAATCAGTGGGGTGGTGAAGATAAACAGACATGGTGCCCAAGTGGCAAGAAGTGGGAGGGAAAAGTTGCCTTTCAGTTTTCATGATTTCTTCCAGGTGCTTTGGAAGAAGGCTCTTTGATTGACAGGATCAACAGAGGAGAGGTCCATGGTGGGTGGGGCTTTGGGGGCGGTGATTGATACTCCCGGGGGTCTCACCAGAGATCCTCCTGTTCTGTTCCTGGTTGCCAGTGGTGGCTTTGAAGGTACTCATGGGTCCATTAGTTGGAGGCCTTGGTTGGCTGGGGGTGGCCGTGGGGACAGAGGGGCAAAAGCCATCCCTGTGGTGTATTTGTGAATATCCAAACCTCCACTAAGTTCAGCCAGCGCCACACTTTGAACCCACTCAACTTCCCTGCAGATGTGGGTTGTGTTGGGGTAGGGGTGTGGGGGGGGGGGAAGCTCACAACTGTCTCCCTCTCTGATGTGTCCCTGCAGGCGGGCTGTGCCCGTGTGGGTGAGTGGGGGATGCCAGGAAGCTCTGCTTCGTGTGGGACTTGCAGGTTCAGTTGCCTTGACAGCAGAGACCTGTGGCCAAAGGATGTGGTCACAGCTGTTGATTGAAACCTCCCAGGAGCTGGGACAGGAGCTGCAGCGTCAGATTCCAGACCAAGCTCCTCATGTCCCATGATACCAGCAGGCCAGAAAGAGCCCTGAGGCTATTTGGGGAGCTGGGAGAGGACAGAGAACTTGGCTCAGGAGCAGAAGGTGTGCAGCAGGAACCCAGGCCTGTAGCCTCTGTTCACTGGTATTTCTTCTGTGGATGTGGGAGGCAGCAGAGAACAGATGAAGTGGAGGGAGCTGGGGAGCACTCCTCGGGCCTGTTCTGGTGGCTTTATAGCTCATTGGACCCGAGTCCCCTCAGGGGGTACTAAGTTGAAACCATCCTGTTCTCTGAGTCACGTGGGGCTGTGCCCACACCTGGAGAAGCCCCTGGACCTTGGATCTTAACTGAGTGGGCAGCAGAATGGAGAGAAGGGCCTGGGAACCTATGTGCACATAGGTAGTGTGTGTGTGTGTGTGTGTGTTTAAGAGCACAATGCATAAAACCATAGGCTTTGAGAAAAGAAGTCAGGATCCCAGCTCTGCAGTTACTTGCAAATTACTGTACTTCTGGTTTCTTCAAATGCAAATAGAGGGATCAGATCACCATGTTACCTAATTATGATGATGATTAAATAAAATCATGTATGTAGAACCCTCAACATTGGTGCACCCTCAATAAGGCCACCCAGTAAGTGCCTTACAGTGGGCAGTGAGAGTTATTCATGTTCACTGAGGAGCTTGGGGGCATTGCTTGAAGACTCAGATGCCACTTTGTCCTAGCTGGCCAGGCCCCTCATTTCTGGGCTGGGGGTATCTGATGCTCCAGAACATCAACTGGGCCAGAGGCACTATGACTGGATGTGCTGGGTTTTCCAGAGTAGGCTTACTGGATCATCCAGCCTGTCTTCACATCTACCTTGTGCCCAGCACACTACATGTTAGGTTTTGGGGGAAGTGTGGTCACCAGGGCCTGGGAGAGCTTGATTACTTACAATCTTTGATGGCAGCCTTGGTCTCTTCGGCATCATTAAAAAAGGAATAACCTAGGAGAGAAAAAGAAATCCACAAACCATACCATGCAATCCTGGTTTCCCCTGGCCAGCTGGGAAGGGAGGTGCTGAGGAGAAGGAGGTCCCCTCTGTGGGGTAGTTTTATTCTAGAAGGAGCCTGGGGGGAACCACCTAGTCTTTCCAGGGCCACCCTGAAGCCACTGGAGAAAGCCCCAGAGCCCGGCACCCCAGCAGCCTCTGTGCAAAAGAGCGCCAGGAGGCTGGAGTTCTGAGCTGGCCACACCACTGAGCTCTGTGCACCTTGCCCAGAGGTGCAACAGATGACAACATCAAGCTTCCCTTTGGTTGTCAGTCCGTGATCTCTGACGTGGCTCTTGTCCTTGGGGATTCGAATGCCCGTGGGGCTGGTCAAAGGTGGAAATGGACATTGGCGGCCACAAGAATCACAGAAGCCAAGGTGAGGATTTGGGTGACTGGGCTGGTGCCTTGGAGGGCTCTTCTGAAGAATGTGGTGGATGGGCATGAATTAGGACTTTCAGGTCATGCTTTCATGTGGCAGCACAGACCAAAGCACCCCTATTTTCTAGCTTGGTGTCCAACACGAGGAGGGTACATTTCTATTTGCAAGGAGTGCAGAGGCCTCCTTGGTGGCGCAGCGGTTGAGCGCTGGGTTGCGAAGCTGCCTGCAGCCTCTGCAGTGCCGGTTCGATCCCCAGCTGCCAGGTGAGGGTCCCACATGGCGCGCAGACCTCTCCTGCCGCCTGCTGCTCCCCTCAGCAGTGTACTTCATCAGTCTGCCTGTTCTGCTCCCCGCTCTGGCTCTGGTGAATTCTCTCACCCTCCTGTGCTTCTGACTGTACCCAGTGCTTGTATAAATAAATAAATAATTTTTTTTTTTTTTAAAAAAAAGGAGATTGGAACAGGGCGCCTTGGTATTCGCTTAGTCCCTTAGCTCTTTCCTGATTGGTAGCAGTTGGCCATGGTCCCCCAGTCTGCTCTGTTCAGAGCCTGCCCGAGCAGTAGCGACAAGGGCCAGTTCTCGCATATACCACGGAAACCGCCCCTGCTCTCCACCCTTCCTGCCCACCTCGCCTACCAGTGACGGGGCCCCATGTTTCTGGGCCCAATGAAACACCTACTGAGCCTGACGGCTCCTGGGCCCTCAGACCTCAGGACCCCATTAGCTCCTCTCCCCACCAAGACTTACTTGTGTTCGGTGTCCCGTTCCACCAGAGTCCTAGTCTGTGGGGTAACACAGGGTCTAAAACAGGTGATGACCCCTTCACCACATCATTTATTGGTGAAAATCTGAGCATGAAACTCAGTGCTCACAAACTATTTCAGGTAACAGGTGGAAACAATGTGTCCTGGGCAAAAGGAAACCATGCAAACTTAAGTCATGTGCATGAAAACAGTCACGTTCCTGCTTGAGGAACACGCCAGGAGGGCTTCGGAGTGGAGCCCGAGTTAGCGGGAGGAGACAGGTTCACTGCCCACCACCACAACTGCCCTGGCTACAGAGTGCTTGAGATCCCACCAGTAGTGCCTGGTGGGTGCTCCCAGGAGCTCTTTGGAGCAAGAAAACGCAGTTGATCACCTGCTTAAAAAACAGTTGGTTTTTAGTTTATTTGCTCTGCACAAACCCTGGGGTCCTGGGACCCGTGGCAGGGAGTTTTTGGATACACAGTTGTCAGGGAAGGGAGATGCCCACCCTGTCAGACACCAGCACAGGGGTGGCTGGCTCCTGCAGACAAACTTGAGGACTTGCACTTTGACCCTGGTAATGCCAGGGTCTGGTGATGCCAACTGCATCCTCTTTCAACAAGGGGTGCCTCCCTCTTCTGGGCCCTGGCACTCGTGTGCAAGGCTGCTGCCTCTGTGGCTTGAATGAACCCTGAGCTCCTCCCTGAGACACCCGTTTGTTCAGATTTGCCCTCTTTTGCAGGGTGGGGGCACTCTGCTCCCAGTTCCTGGCATGGCCCTGTTAGTGGTGATAATCAAATAGATAGGAGGTCAGCGAACAGCAGGTCTGTTTGTCCCTTCCTTGGCCCCACCTTCGGCCCCTCCCCCTGGACTGTGGCTCCCAGGGGAGATAAACTGTGCTCCAGGGTCACCCTCCTAGATTTCCTGCTCCCAGGCACTGGTGATGGGGGAAAGCAATGGGAGGCCAAAGACTCCTAGAGCAGCAGGTCCTCTGGGATTTTCCAAACAGGAATCCTGCCATGGCCTCCTCATCAAGCAGGTGCTATTAGATTGCGTGATTACCCCTAGCGATGGGGAACTTCCTATCTTAGGTATCTTCTGGTGCAACTCTTCTAGAAGGTGCTAAGTTTTAGAAAGATCTTTCTTAAAATTGAGCTGAGATGTGTTGACTTCATTTAAAAAATTTCTGCCTCTTAGTTATATTCAGCTGCCTGTGACTGCATTCATGGCCTTATCTGCTATGCCAGATAAGGCGTCAAGAAGCCTGTGGAGGTGTTTTCCTCCCACTGTACAAATGAGTTGATGCAGGGAGGTTAAGCCTCAGCCAGAGGTCCTAAGGCTCTCAAGTTCCCAAGTCAGGGTGGAATGCAGTGTTCTGATCTCAAAGTCCCTGCTCACATCCACTTTCCATGAAGCCATCAGCCTTGTTTACTCTGTGGCACTGGAGAAGTCACTTAACCACCTGGAACCTCTCTTCCTGTATTTGTGACCAAGGGATTTGAATGTGTATGTTCCCTGCAAGCCTCCCAGGTTTAAAAAACCTGCCCATCAACATTCTACTTTTGCAGGGCTGCTTGAAGCCTTAAGTAATGCTACAGGCGCCACCTTGTGGGCATTAGAACCCTGCCTATTAGGAATGTTGACAATCAGCTGGACTTCTCTGGAAACAACTCAAACAGGTCTAATTTTTTTTGTGCTGCTTAATGAAAGGTCAGGCAGAAACCTTTATGCCCACATTCTTATGAACATAATTCATGATTTTGTGGCATCAACCTGGCGCCTGGACATTGCTCTAGCATACTAGAGCTTCTAGGTATTGAGAAGTTTTGGATAACAGGGGATGTTGGTTAACAGAGTCCCAGTTAATGAACTATTGCTCGGTGAGTTCCAGACAAAGACTGATGTGACAGGGTCATTTGGTCCCAGTCCTCGGCCCTCCCTGGAGGTGGGCCCCCTGGACACTGACCTTGAGAGCGGATGTTCTGGAGGATGAAGTACAAATACTCCCCGCAGATGCCAGCTGCCTCCACGAACTCCTCCTGCGTCATGCTGCACAGCTGCAGGCCGCTGATGTTGAAGTGACAGAAGGAGATGCAGTTGGCGTCCAGCTTGTACTGGTCACAGCAGAACTGGAGCCATTCCCAGACATGGCGCTTAGTCCAGTACTCAGGGTGGACAGATGTCCAGTAGGAGTCGCAAGCTACATCAGAGGAGAGAGAAGTGAGGGTTGATGGCCACCGGGAAAGTCTTTGGAAGGAGGCTCCAGTTATGTCAACATCCTCACCCCTTGTCCAAGAGGGTTGTAAAGGCCTCCAGCCCTGGGTCGCTGCAGGGGCCCAGGCCACCTTCTAGTCCATGGTGAGAACGAGAGGTGACCGGGTACTCAGGGTAGACTTCAGTGCAGGAAAGGGAATGAAAGGGGCAAAAACCCAGTAGGCTGGGGAGTACCCAGGCTTCATTCTAGTGTGTAGAAAAAGGGTAATAATAGGGAAGGAAAGGAAAAATCCCTTCAGTTATTTGGCTTCATAGTACCAATTACATGGATTTGGGAGTCTGACAGGGTTAGTGGTGATAAAGCTGGTCAGTGTTTAAAGCTGGTTATGCTGCTTTCCATACTGGCAAGTTCTATAGACATTTAAGCCTCAGTTTCCTCATCTGCAAAATGGGGTTGATAGGTTAAATTCACAGGGCTGCTGTGGAGTCTGAGTTTGGGGTTAATGTAAAAGGCTGTGTGGTACACAGACTATCCATCAATGCAACAGTGTGTGCAAAGCGCTGTTTGAAGTCAGCTGGATCCCCTCTGCTGCTGTGGACCCCTTCCACCTCGGCCACTGGCTGAACACCACTGTATCTGGCCATCTGGTGCTGAGCGCCTTGGGCTTGTGAGTTGTTGCCAAGAGTCTGACACCTCAGGTCACAGCAGGTGCCTCTGGGAGAAGGGGGTGGTGGAGAATTGGTTGTTATATTGTTCGTGTGTTTTTAGGGGTATTTTAAGGAATTTCTATTCTGAGGCCAGAAACCCTTCACTCCTTCAGAAAAGCCCCATATATACCCAAACAGGTGGGTACCATCCTTCCCAGAATCTGGGAAGAGGCCATGCCTGGTCCTAGGGCAGAGACCTGGTGCACAACAACCCTGTCCCAATGCCAGGAGACACAGAAAGAGTGGCAGACCTGGGGCATGGAAGAGGTGAGGTACCAGGTCCTTAGGTTCTTTGACGTAAATGATTCTTGCAACTGCTGTAATATATATTTATTCACTCATTCATTCAGTTAATAAATGAGCTTTAATTTCCTCATCTGTAAAATTAGAATAGCACCTATATTAGAGGGCTGTTCTGTATAGTAAATGTAAATGTTGGTATAAAAAACTTAGAGCCTGGAAGATTTTAAAGCTATTACTAATGTTATTAAGGAGCACTTACTATGTGGCAACAAATTGTGTGCAAAGAATTCATGGTGAATAAGAAGTTTGGTCCCTGTCCCGTAAGAGGTCACAGATGAGGAAACTGAGGGTGACAGTGGACCCCACAGCCAGTGTGTGGCAGAGCTGGGATTTGAACCCAAGTCTGAACTGGAAAGCCATGGCTCTTCTTGTTCTGTCATTCTGGTCCTCAGAGGGTTAGCACAGAAAAGAGATGAAATGTGGAGGGAGACAGAGGCAGTAGGAGACCTAGAGAGGAGAAGGTTCGAGGAGAAAGGCAGAGAGCAGGGTAGGGCTTAGCTCCCTGGCCCAGGCTGTGTGGGTGACAGAAAGTGTCACTGTCGAGTTCTTCTCCACAGCAAATGGCAATGAGGCTACTGCCCTTTAAACCTCCCTTTATATGCTGCATTTGCTGCCACCATTCCAGAGGGAGCTGTGGAGATTCTAATCCCAGGCAGGATATCCAAAGGTCTCCATCTTGTCCAGAGCTACCGATTCCTAAGCACTCTGCTCCCCACCAGAGGAGGAGGAGGGGGCAGGGGGCAGAAGAAGGGGTCAGGCCAGCTGCGGCCTGTCCTAATCTGTGCCATCTCAAGTTCCTTAAATCCTCCCAACTGTCCTAATCTGTAGATACGATCAAGCCAATTTCACAAAGGAGGAAATGAAGGCTCCCCTAAAACTTATAGTCCTTTCAGAAATCTCTTTTCTCATTGTGGGGTGGATTGAGGAGCAGTCAAACTTAAATAGATTTGTTTTAATTTATTTTGAGTTGCAACTGGAACTCTGCGTGCAAGGAGTTGACATACCTCCGCTGGTTCAGGCAAACGTTGTCACCTCTACCTGGTGGAGGAGAGTGTGAGGGGACTGGAAAGGCCGGATGCCTCTCCTCTTGCTCACTGGCCTCTGGCTAGAGCCAGTTCTGGGGCCCTTAGGGGGCCCTTGTGGCAAGCAGGGTCTCCTGGGAAAATAGGGCAGCCATTTCTGAGGCTATGGGGTGCTTTCATCTACTCATTTCTGGCTTGAGTAGTCCCAGGGGCCTTTGACGTTCCTGGTATTCTGATGAGAGACGTTTATGAGCCTTGAAATTCTTCTACTCTTGGTCCTGGGCTGAGCCCCTGTGGAGATGGCTATCGACCTGAGGCATTTGACGACAGTTTCTTTCTTTCATGGAAAAGTTTTGTTAAGTCTCCATTCCCCTCCCCTCTCCACTTCCACCCCCTCGTTATTTTTTTTGGCACTTGAAAAGGGCCACGTTGTTTCTGGAAACCAAGAGGGCCTAAAGATTTCAGAGAAATGCCCAGGTTGGGGGTGGGCCCTGACACTAGGAAGGTGTTGCTGGCCCAGCCTCCCTTCTCTTCAGCCTTCTCCTTTGAAGCTCACCCACAGAGCGGGCTTTGTGTGCAGCCTGGGCCCAGGAGGGGAGCCAGAGCCAGAGCCAACCATGGCGGGCCCTCCTCACTGGGAAAGTCCTTCCTACAGTCACAGGGCAGAGAAGAAGTGACTGTTCTCAGCAACATGGAGGCCAGAGAGTCCACAGGCACAGGATGTTTTCATTTGTGGGGGGTTTCCGTGATCTTGTCCTCACTACTACAGAGGGGAGGCTGACAGAAGTGAGGAAGACCCGCTACTGCTGACTCTCTCTCTGTCCTACTCCCCCTCATTTCCCCAGAGCCCCTCCAGGCTCAGGTCTTTCTCATGTGCCTGCTTCCCTTTCCCTAGCATCAGGTTTCCTTCAGGCCTCACCTGATTCCTGCTCATCCTCAGGAACATGGCTTACTCTATCTTTTCAGAGATCTTTTCCCTCTTTCCCCTCTCCAGTGTCCTCAGAGGATTCAGCTCCATCTCCCTCCCTCTCCAGACCCTGAGTTCTGCAAAGCCCGGATCTGCTTTGCCCTCCCTGGCTCAGGAGTTCCCACTGTGGGTGGCCCGTGAATGTAACCCAGAGCGAATGGTTGAACATTAGTGTCTCCAGCTACACTTACTGTTATGGTAACTGAGGTTCTGGGAGGTTCCTATTAGGGTCGCAGGGCTAGGCAGTGAGGGAGTCAGGCCCCATCCCAACTCTCTATTTTCAGATGTGGGATTTTGCATCACAACACACCTCACTCATCTTGGTTGAGGAGGGCCAAGTTTGGTTGAGGAGGGCCACATATTTGAAGACTAAAAGAGGTGGGACTGAAGGCACACCTTGGCACATATAAAATATATATAGTGGCCTCCCTGTTGGCGCAGGGGTTAAAGACAGCTCCATCAAACTATCGCCAGCCACTGCAGCATGAGTTGGATCCCTGGCCAGGGAGGTGATCCACATGGCACAGCAGACCTCTCCTGACTCGCCCGCTGCTCCCCTCAGCAGTGTATTTCAGTAGATCTGCCTGTTCTGCTCCCCACTCTCTTTGGTGAATCCTCTCACCGCCCCACACCTCTGGCTTACACCCCAGTTCTTGTATGTATAAATAAATAAATCTTTAAAAAAGTAAAATATATATAAAATTACTATATATAATATAAAATATAGAATATAAAATTATTTCTGTTTTTAGAATATAAAATTATTTCTATAGTTACATAGTACAGCTATTTAAAAAATCAAAATATAATATAAAATTATTTATATAGTTACATAATACAGCTATTTGAAAAATCAAAAAAAAGGAAGGGAAGCCTGAGAATAACCATCTTTGCAATCCCAGTGAATGAAGTCGATCCTTTTGCTATTTGTAAGAGACAAACTCAGGATAAATAAGTCAAAGGATAATACACTCCAGAATATGGTACCTTTAACAGATTGTCTAGTCCAGAAATGTCAAGTGTTTTCCTCAATGTGTTTACCATTCATAAAATTAGCTGAACTTTTTGGAGAAGCTGAGTTATCACGCTCTCCTGCCTGCATCTATCACTTGACCAGACAGCACACTGTGTCTGGCAGACTCAATCTAAATGTCCACAGGCCACTATTAACAATAGGCTTGGCCAGCTTCTTTGAAGTCAGAAGTAGGTCAGGACACTTGTTTAAGGGCCAGCTGCACAGGAAAGAATTGAGGAGCTCCAGAGAGTTTTCAGCAATTCTGGGGGATACTATATACACAAGTGATACTATAGCTTGGGATATGTTTGAACTCAGATGGAGGACTTAAGATTTTAGAGCTGGGATGGCAGCACTCAAATGCCCAGAGGGTCATGCACGTCCATGCATGGAGTGGCCTTGGGTGAGGACAATGGGAATTGGAAAGCTCAAGCCACATGGACAGTGGCCGCTCAGCCCAGCTCATTGCTGCCATGTGGGAAGCGGGCCCTGCATTGTTTTGTGAAATCTCACAACTTTTAAGTATTGGCAACTTATTTAATTTTTAAACACCAATCTGAGGGCCGATCAAAACTCTCCCCCGTTTTGGATCACTCTGGCAGTTACTCCGTGGTGGAGAATTTCACATGCAGTTGAACTGTTGTCACCTTGAGGTTATTGTTTCCAATTGGCATGCTAAGACTTAATTTTTTTTAATCGAATAGTATTTCTTCAAATTAAAACTTATCTGGAAAGAAGCAATGTTGCTTTTCTAGGCCTGGTGATGAAGATATTTCCCTTCCTTAGTTCAGAGGTCTCCTGAAAAATCACTCCTCTAGAAGTTGAAACTGGGTTCCTCAAAAATTTGAGAAGGTATGTGGTCCTGCCTCCTTGGGACTCATCTGAAAAATGGGACTAATTGGACCGACTTTATCATGTTGTAAAAGGAGTAAGTGAATCTATATGTGAAAAGTGCTTAGAACAGGGGCGGG